AGCCATGGTAATTATGCTGTGTAACTTATCGCGTTACCATGGTAATCACGTTTTTATAATGTATCGCGTTAACATGGTAATCATGTTTCTATAACTTATCGTGTTAGCCAGGGTAACCATGTTTCTATAAGTTAGCCAGGGTAACCATGTTTCTATAACTTATCGTGTATAATGTATCGCGTTAACATGGTAATCATGTTTCTATAACTTATCTCGATAAGTTAGCCATGGTAATAATGTCTGTGTAACTTATCGCGTTACCATGGTAACCATGTTTCTATAACTTATCGCGTTAACATGGTAATCATGTTTCTATAATGTATCGCGTTAACATGGTAATCATGTTTCTATAACTTATCTCGATAAGTTAGCCATGGTAATAATGTCTGTGTAACTTATCGCGTTATCATGGTAATCATGTTTCTATAACTTATCGTGATAGCGATGGTAATCATATTTCTATAACTTATCGTGTTAGCCATGGTAATCATATTTCTATAACTTATGGCGTTACCATGGTAATCGTGTTTCGATAGCTTATTTTGTTAGCTTATAAAAAGGGTTTCGATACTCACGATCGAGAAAGCGTAGATAGTTTATTGTATAGCTTTGTGCTTAATAACAAAAGCCTTCGAAGAAGAGTCAGCAGAACCACGAGGCTTTTAAGCAATGCCTCTTGTTGACTGTTGTTAATGGATAATGGAATCTATTCTCTGTCACAGAGTTGGTCTGGCCTGGCAGGTAGGATTCTAGCCTTGCAATTTGCTTGTCACGGGATCGAAACCTTACGCTGAAAATGCTCGCCCTTTCACTTGGGGGGGGGGGGGAGCGTTATAATGTGACAACCGTTCCACCTTTTCACTGGTAAAAAAAAACCGCCAATTCGTGGGCTACCTTGGATGCTTTTGGTTGGCAACTCAAAATTAGGGAAGGCTGCAGGTAGCCTCATAAAAAACAACAAAACAAATCAAACTGAGTTTGCCTATAAAAGTTTGTTTATTTGTTTATTTGAAATTAAGCACAAAGCTACACAATGGGCTATCTGTGCTCTGCCCACCACGGGTATCGAAACCCGGATTCTAGCGTTGTAAGTCCGCAGATATACCGCTATGCCACTGGGGGGGGGGGCCTATAAAAGTAAATCATACTCATTGTAAAAAACAAACAAAAAACAATTAACTTCAGAAATCAAGTACATTGGACAATTTACATTTGTTTGTTTGTTTGAGAGTAAAGCCACATTGGGCTATCTGCTATGTCCACTGTGGGGAATAACATCCTGGATTTGACCTATGTAAGTTCGTAGACTTACCGCTGTCCCACCGGAGAACGAAAATTCACATAGGCTTCTAGATTCAATTGTTTACCCTCGTTTATCGTTCCAGTCTTATTGGTCTTATTTTCTCAGATCAAATATTTCTTCTACTTCGCCCAAGGAACTGGAAAAATCCGGAAGGACTACAAAAGTTGACAATAGTAATAGTCCAATAATCCGAGATCTTCTGCCTCTCTAGCATTGGTATTTTCAATATTATGGAGCCTATGAACTAACCAACAATCTCAGAGAATCCTAGGGGTCGCTTATTCGTTAAAACAAAGTCAAGTTGAGCTATCTGTTGTTTCCACCGCGAGGAATCCAATCCCCAATTTTAACGTTGTAACACCAACCGGGGGACCGTATGGTTCAGGTTTAGTGGTCTTTAGATTCGAATTGCTGATCAGTAGAAGGGAAGCCAGTTAGCAGCGAATCCCCCTCCCCTCTTCTCCCCGTCAAAAGGACTTTGTTCGGCTTTGAGCTGAATTATGGGTTTGATCGCCAAAACTGAAAGTACGGTGCGTGTTTAGCGGCACATCGTGGTACGAACGTTGGACCTCCCGATTGAATATGCGGTGTAACAAAACCAATTTGGTAAATGCGGCACTGACGTATTTACTCAAAACTGAAAATTATACATTTTGTGTTATCAGATAGTAATTCCTGACGTAATTTTACAGGTAAATATTTCCCGACTTCCTTACCCCTACAAGGACAACTGTCGTCGAACATGGCCAGAATGGATGGATCATTTTACTATTAAACATACACCATACAGCCGAGAGGTAACATTTATCATATCGTTCCGTCCTACGTGATTGTATGGTAATAGTTTAGGGTTTTATGTGTCTTGTTAGCTTAACTTATAATCAGTGGTAGAATTCTCCTGAAAAAAGTACAGGTACTCAACTTTGCCAGAGTTTATGGAGTATGAAGTGTTTCTACAAGTTAACCATAGCTCTTCCATAGCAGTATTTAAATTGAAATACAAAATATAAAAAAAAAATAATTACGCACTGCATTACCACACTTCAAAAACAAAAAATAAATAAGAAATAACGCACTTCGTTACCACACTTCAAAACATAAATTAAATTAAATAACGCACTCCATTACCACATTCTTATTTATTTTTTGTTTTTGAAGTGTGGTAATGGAGTGCGTTATCTAACTTAATTTATTTTTTGAAGTGTGGTAACGAAGTGCGTTATTTCTTATTTATTTTTGTTTTGAAGATAACGCACTCCCTTACCACACTTCGAAAAATAAATTCAAATAAATAACGGACTCCATTACCACACTTCAGAAGCAAACAAATAAATAGAAAATAACTGACTCCATTACCACACTTCCAAAAAAATAATAATAATAATGCACTCTATTACCACACTTCAAAATAAAAATATATAACACACTTCAAAAACAAAAAATAAGTGAAAAATACCGGATTCCATCACCACACTTCAAAAAAAAAAACGGAGGAGCGATACTCCACATACAATTTCAAGAAAAACCATTACTGAATTAGCAGCTAGTTAAAACCACCCACCGCCAACTCTTGGGATATTCTAGTCGAACAGTAGAATTGGAACGTTACTCTTATAACGCACCCACAGTTCAAAATGGCGGAGCGCGATTTCAGTAAAAGACGAGAACCATGGAATCTCGGAGCCATAGCCCGATATGTTAACCTCTAGATCAAGCCCGGTCCAGAAATCTGAATAAAAATACTATTTGTTGCAAGTTAATTGCTTCTAATAAGTTCTGATATAAGCATAACTTACTACAACTGTATTTATAAATAAGTAAGGGTTAGCAAAAATTTACCAGCTAGTTGTTTAATAGGCTTGTTTGACCCATGTTTTACTGATATATAACACGTATATTTTTATCCTAAAATTCTAAACAGTGTTTCAAGCAATATTTTTCAAGAGCTTTGTGAGGTTAATGAGAATGAATCAACGCGAGTTTGTTATTTGCTTTAAGGACGATGAGTAATATCCTAAAACAATTACACCAATAAATTCATGAATAAACGTGTTTAAACATTGTAGTGATTTAAAATAAACGTCAATATATATTTTTTAAGCTGTGCCTGAGCTTTTGTCTCCAGAAGCAGTTAGACGACATCTGTAAATGTCAAGTCCCTTGTCTACCTATATTGTTGTCCAACAGAAGTGTAGCCATCTGCGAGGCAAACAGTAAAAGTAAGTGGATTGTATTTTCTTTAGGGTATGTGGCTCCTATGCTGGCTAAGTGCAATCCGTAGATCGACAGTTTGTGTGATATTACATCACAATAGTATTGGCAATTTCCCCGAAAGCGGACCGAAGGCCGCCTGTAGGGGGTCACCTGTTTTAACCACTCGTACCACCACTATGCAGTAGTATGTTGTCTGTCAGTCAGTCAGTAGACACTAAAATGACGTTAGATAAAGGACGCTTAAAGTTGCAATTTGTACTGTCGTGACGTCAGTAAAACGTGCGCATGCCATGAATCACGAGAAGAATTATGCACTCTGCAGGCTTCAACACAGCATGACATATGTCAATATTTATTACTCTTCATTTTGGTTTTATTCATTCTTGAAACAGAACACTTTCGAGGGCCCTGCAGAAGTACATTTAGTACATTATATAAAGCTATACTGGTTTCCAGTAAGAAGAATACAATACCATTTCAATAGAACATTTTGCGTGTTGCTAACGAGATTCTTCATTCATAAATTTATATACAACTCCCCCTTCAATACCTGAACCATTTCATTCTTCTTACCAAAAACCAGTCAAAGAAGGATTTAATAAAAATTATTATCCGACTTATTTTGATGCAATATCACAGAAAATATAGATCTACAGAAATAGCTCTTTCTTTTTTCTTTGTCAAAGAGTTGATAATATATCGTTACAGTGTTGAATACAGAAAGTTATCGAAGTACTGGAGCTAAAGAAAATCTCGCTGTATAACTAATTTCACGTGAAAAGAAAATACGTTTATCCCTTGGCAACAAAGTCGATATTAAAAATACTGCACATTTATAAACCAAAAATTTATACGGTGAAATTTATAATAACCCATTATTTTTTTTAAAGATTTGACAGTGTTTAAGATAGTTTTTAATCTTCATGAACGAAAATTCTATGTCATTACTGACTGTTTTGGTACGAAAGGATCAGTGAAAGCTAGTTAATTATATTCAGCATTTTATTAATGAAAAATGAATATTCTGGTAATTTTCTGATTGATTATATTAACGCCCTCTATCCAATTAAAAGTAAAAATGCAAGAAATAACTCGCACGTTCATTATAACTTTTCCGGTAAATGGTTGGATTCGAGAAAGTTGAAATTTCGAGAACTTTTGATATGCAAACATTGACATATTTGACAAATGCGGAGTCAGAAAAGAGCTTTAAGTTAAAATCTTGCAAAACAGTAAATTAGCTGTCAAAAAAGCCATTTATTTCTTGATAGCTAACTTATGCAATATGTTTTTATAAATAGTATGAAATACAAAATGTCTGACGAGTGTTCAACTACTTGCTCCGAAGGTTGAAGTTATCGTTCTGTTTTTAAGTCTATAAAGACTGTTTATTTTTAAAGATATGTAAAACTACAAACATTTTGTAAATATTTGAAGAATAAGCTGAATGGCTCATCATTGATGTTTTTTTTTATCATACTTATAATACAAATGTAGCGAAAGGAAAATGTGTTGAGAACGTGACAGATTCAACGTTGCCCTGCAAATGTGAACCGCAGTGTCAGTAAGTTAGTTTGAATATATTATTAGTGCGCTATGACTAAATTATTATCATTGTTACGATATAAATGTGAACCGCAGTGTCAGTAAGTTAGTTTGAATATATTATTAGTGCGCTATGACTAAATTATTATCATTGTTACGATATAAATGTGAACCGCAGTGTCAGTA